GAGGAAAGGATTCTGTAAATGGATTGAATGTCAGCTTTACATCAGTCCCTCATCTACATGTTTTAACAAATTCAGCTTTACTTAATGTTCACAAAAAACCTCATGCAACAGAATTTGCTAATGATAAATTGGAGGCTCAAAGAAGTTAAACAATTTGTTCAATATTATATGGTATATAACTAATGAAGGTGGGATTTTGACTGTGTTCTGATTGTTAGTTCAGGGTTCGTTCTTTGAAGTAATAATTCATTGCTAAATGAGTGGATCTTCTAAGATATTTTCAGATGGCTGTAGGAAATCTTGATGGACTGGAATATATAAGCAGTAGAAAAAGTCTCAGGAAGGAAGGGAGATGACTTAGGAAATGCTTGGTTGAAAGAGTTATTTGTGAATTTTGGCTGACATAGTTTTTCTGGTCATGGTTCTACAGCCATATGGGACATCAAGCTTTTGTACTCTCTCAACCTCAATCCCTTTAATCCTTTTCCATACCAGATGATGCCAGCAGCAAAGGTCACCTGTCTGTCTGATCAGGTTACAAACTAGAGCCTGCTGTTTGAAGCACATACTTCTAGACCTATCATAGACCTTTGGGAAAGGCACTGGCTGACCCTGGGCCAGCGGTGTCCAACTTGGAGGCCCCCAGTCCTTGGAGCTTGGTAAACTATTTCCATTATTTTAAAAAGCCTACTAAGAGCAGTGCTGTACCTCTTAGCTTGTGGATGGATACAGGCTAATGAAAAGTTTGGATTTCTTTCCTTTATGTTAGAATGTTGTCAACAAAACATGATTTAAGTGTGTTACCTATGATCTTCTGTTATAGGTTCCAACAAAATATGACCTATGGGCTAAATCCAGCCCACTGCCTGTATTTTTGTAAAAAAAAAAAATTCATTAGAACACAATCTCATTCACTTATGTTTGTCTGCGGATGCTTTTTGTGCTACAATTTGGCAGCAGAGACTATGTAGCCTACAAATCCTAAATTGTTTACAGTGTAGTCCTTTATAGAAAGAATTTGCTAGACCCCTAACTTGACTCTTTTTATTGTGACACTCAGCACATAGTGTTTTAATTGCCTGTCTTTCCCACTGTAGTAATTGAACTCCAGAGAGCAAAGATAAAATCTGATTCATAATCTTATGTCTGGCTGCCCAACATAGGCCTGAAATATGAATTATACTCAATACATGTTGTTTAAATGTTTTATCATATGCTAACCCAAAATCTCTGACATGCAATTATATGTGCTTTTGTATAGTACAAAAATAGGGGCAAGAGAGGGAAAGAGTTAATATTGATTATGCTAATCTCAGTGTGCTTTATCTGTGAACTGGTTAGTTAATACTTTTTGTAATTTATTGGGTTGATAAATAGTTTTTCTGGAAATGGGTTCCAAGAATGAAAGTATGATGCCAGGAATTCTTGTGGGTTAGGAAGTTGAGAAACAATACCTCAATCTTTGGCTGTATTCTACTTTCTCCTTCAGTAATCTCCATCCCACCCCCAATCCAACCTGGCAGGACAAGTAGAACTTAAGGTTACATAGAGATATTTCTTTTGTATGCTTATCTTATTCTTTTAATTTTATAAAACAATTTTGTGTTCTTACCAACATTATCATCTGGCTTCCAAAAGATGAAACCAACCCAAAGCTATCTGACTACTGTAGTAAAAAGGCCGTCAGGTTAAGTGCTGACATGGGAGTCAGCAGACCTTGGTTCTTGCTGTGGCTCTTGAGTGGTTTTTTGACTTTGGGCATATCATTTAACATCTGTGAGCCTCACTGTTCAACATATTTCAGTTGAGTCACATCTGTGATTCTTTAAAATTTAATATTTATACTTCTCCTTTATTTTGAAAAGGATTTGGACAACCAGCAAGAGATAGAGAGGTGACCTATTCTATCTTCACTGTCTCTAGCAAACAGATAAGTAAACAATTAAATGGATCATGGTGTTTTAGTGCCTTTTAAAGGGCTTAGTATCTTTATCTGTCCTTGCTTTCTCCTCCTGACAATATTCCTATTACCTGGGAAGTCAAAGTCTTTTTTCTTCTCCCTCTCCCTGCTTTATTTTGATATGGGGGATAGAATCCAGAAATGCTCTACCACTCAGTGACATCTCCAGCACTTTTTATTTTTTATTTTGAGACAGGGTCTCACTAAGTGAGATCTAGAATTTGGGTTCCTCTTGCCTCAGCCTCCCAAGTTGCTAGGATTATAGGCGTGCGCCACCAAGACTGGCTCTTTCTTTTATCTTTTTTTTGGGGTAATATTTAAAGAACATTTTGCCTAGGAAGTAATAGTCAAGATCCAAGTCAAAAGGAAAGACAGATTTTAGCACCTAGGAATTGGAGAAACTTGAGTCAAAATGCCTTTTTTCAGGCCAGTTTTCTGATACAGACCTGAAACTCAGGAGGCTAAGACAGGTAGTTCAAGGGCAGCCTCAGCAACCTAGTGAGTTCCTGTCTGAAAATAAAAAATAAAAAGCTCAGTGGTAGATCAGTGGTAGAGTACTCCTGTACTACAAAAGAAAAAAATAAGTCTTTATTTCTTTTTTTTTTTTGAAAATTTATTARTGTATTATAGTTATATATAATAGAGGAAAATTTCCTTTTTTGAGTGATAAAATGTCAAGTTTATCTAATTTCACCATTGATATTAGAATCATATTTTTCTTTTACCTCTAAAATGAAAACAAAAAAAATAAGTCCTAATTATTGTTACTCAGCTTTTTGTCTCTAAAAACCTTTTTCTTTTTAAAAAAAATTTCAATTACTTTATTTTTTATTTGTTCTAATTAATTATACATGACAATAGAATGTATTTTGATACATTGTACACAAATGGAGCATAATTTCTCCTTCGTTTGGCTGAACATTGATGCACTCACACTGGTAATGTAATCATACATGTATATAGGGTAATAATGTACATTTCAATCCCGTTCTTTCACCTTCCCTCATTCCCCTCTGCACAATCCAAAGTTCCTTCATCCCCTTTCCGCCTCATTATGGATCAGCATCCACTTACCAAAGAAACATTTGGCCTTTGGTTTTTCGGATTTGGCTTATTTTGCTTAACATGATACTCTCTAGCTCCATCCATTTACCTGCAAATGCCATAATTTCATTCTTTTTATAATGAAAATACCGAGTAATATTTCATTGTGTATATATACCACATTTTCTTTAACCATTCATCTGTTTAAGGGCATTTAGATTGGTTCCATATCTTAGCTATTGTGAATTGTGCTGCTATAAACATTGATGTTTGTCACTGTAGTATGCTGATTTTTAAGCCCTTTGGGTATAAATCAAAGAGTGGAATAACTGGGTCAAATGGCAGTTCCAGTCCAGGTTTTCTGAGGAATCTCCATACTGCTTTCTAGAGTAGTTGCCCCAATTTGTAGTTCCACCAGCAATGTATGAGTGAACCTTTTCCCCAACATCCTTGTCAACACTTATTGTTGCTTGAGTTCTTGATAATTGCCATTCTGACTGTAGTGAGATGAAATCTTTGAGTAGTTTTGATTTACATTTCTCTAATCACTAGATATGATGAACATTTTTTATATGTTTGTTGATCAATTGTATTTCTCTTCTGTGATGAGTCTGTTTAGTTCCTTAGTCCATTTATTGATTGGGTTATTTGTCAGTTTTTTGAGTTCTTTATATATCCTGGAGATTAGTGCTATATCTGAGGTGCATGTTGTAAAAATTTTCTCCCATTCTGTAGGCTCTCTCTTCATATTATTGTTTCTTTTGCTGAGAAGAAGCTTTTTAGTTTGAGTCCATTCCATTTTTTATTTTACTTCTTGTGTCTAAAAGCCTTTTTCAAAAAAAGAACTCAAGGCCTGGAGAAGAGAAGTGACCTCTGTGTTCACATGGTGGAGCTAAGTCTAAATTGGAGCCTCTTTTTTTGCTGTGTGTATCTGTTATGGTACATGTTTTCCAGAGTTATAAGAGGTGTCATGGAAAGAGGTAAGGGGGCCTCTGCCCTTATGCTGGTTTTACTGCTGCATGCTATGTGGTGGTAGGCAGAGGAAACTGCTTTCCAGACCTCCAAAGCTGTTGTATCAGATGAGCTTGGGATTTTTAGATATCTAGTAGATAACTTGCTGGATGTAACTATCAATGAGAAGGCACAAGGTATGAGAGATTTTACTAATTGGCCTGCAGCTGGCATTTTATGTACAGCAATGACAAACAGGAAAAGTATGCATTATTCATATATAGGGACTAATTGGCTGTTGTTCTATTTCTGGAAAGATTGTATTAATTTATATTTGCTTATTTGACTGATTTAAAAATGGTATCTCACTGTCTCCCAAACTAACAAGTGAATTACAACTCTGGACAGAGAACATGATGGGAATGTGACCTTTGAATCACCTCTTTAAAAGCCCCCTGTTCCGCTGGGGATATAGCTCAGTTGGTAGAGTGCTTGCCTCACATGCACAAAGTCCTGTGTTCAATCCTGAGCGTGACAATGGAAAAAAAAAAGTCCCCTGTTCTCCTTGATGGGCAGAATCACAGTCTCTGGGGGCAGGAGTCCCCTGTGTTTCTCCTTTGCTAGCAAAGCAATAAAACTTCTTTTTCCTTTTTTTAAAAATCATATCTCAGTGGAATATGTATTTCTTTGATTACTAGTGAGTCTATTTTTTTTCTTGTGTTCACTGGTTATTTGTATTTTCTCTAATTTGTGAGTTAGCTTTTCATGTTTTTGTCTAGATCCCAGTGTACTCATAGTCCTATGTTAGACTTAACTTCCAGGAAGCTGTTAGGATGATAAAGCACCATCCCTGTGTCAGAAAGCTCAGCACATTTTCCAGGAGACAGTTAAAAGGCTAGATGATATGCTTCTGTCACTGTATACATGGTTGGTTATAAACTTTTGTGAGGAGTCAGATACTAGAAGCTAAGGATGCTGACAAAGGTTGGTGATAGATGCTGAGTGGCAGCTCTGAGTAATGTTGTCTCTTGCTTTTCCTGTACAGAGTTCTGCCGGATTGACAAGCCCCTGTGTCACAGTGAGGATGAGAAGCTCAGCTTTGAGGCAGTCCGCAATATCCACAAGCTGATGGATGATGATGCCAATGGGGATGTGGATGTGGAAGAAAGTGATGAGGTGAGATTTCTCACCCTACCATGACTCTCTTCTCTTCCTGTGTCAAAATATCCCTGAAAACTTTCTAGACAGAATCTTCCCTATGAAGGGATTTCCCCCCCTCTAGGAATTCATTCTCATCAGGAGATGTGGCTTTCAGCATAACAAGCCTTCAGGAGCCAGCCTGGCAGAGTGCAGGCTGTATATCTGTGTCTACACCTGGGTGGGTTCCCACCTGCCCATTGGTTAGGTGGGCTGATCTTTGCAGTTTCCCTGGATTCTTAATGYAATCCTGATATACATAAAGGCCATCTATGCTTAGCTTTGTGTTGGCATGTGGAAAAGAAGGCCAAATAGTCATATTCTGTCATCTGGGAATTTATATATATTTGGGAAGACATAAATCTTAGAAGGTCATTCTAAATTTCAAGTTGTAATTGTTGGGAACCAGTTAAGAGTTTCAGATAATAAGAACTAGAGGAATCTCTAAATGGAATAAACTTTGTTATTGTTTTTCTTTAACTTTTTATTTATTTAATAAACTCTGTTATTGTTTCACCTTTTGGCATTACTATGGCTCCAACTCAATAGAGCCCAAAGTATAAGGTTGTTATATATGAAAATATTTAATAAAAGTTTCTTGATTTCATGCACTAGTGAAGTTACCCTGTTATGCCATATCTTTAAGAGAGAAAATGTACATTATGAGGGAGGAGGTAAGATGTCTGAACTCCCTGAGATTTAGTCTACCTTTGAGTTTTGAATTCAATTTTGGATCTCACATCATCAGAAGGATTTAGAATAGTAAAAGACTGGCAGAGAGGAGTAACATGATGATGAAGAATATAGAAAGTATGAAATAAAAAAAACATTCAACTTAGTTCAGTAATGCCAATTGTGTCTATTATGTATGTGCCTTTCACTGTGCTATGTATGGAGAACACATTCTGTCCTCATATAATTTACAGCCTAGTGAAGACACTTGAGCCTGGAGAAGAGAAGATTGAGGTAATGTAATTTCTATCTTTAAATACATAAGAAGTAGGAAAAAGTCAGATTTTTTTTTTTTTTTTTTTTGTATCAACAAAGATGTAGAGGTAGTAAGAAACATGGTGGTTTTTTTCGGTTAGAGAAATTATGGTAGAAAACCACCAAAGAGTTGGAAAGTGGGGCCCAGGAAACCAGGCAGAGATATGTGTACCTGTACTTGAGATATATGTGGATTATTAAGCAAGGATAAAAATCATGATCAAAGTATCTGATTTTTTTTTATCATATTTCGAACTGACCTTCAAAGGATTAAAATTTCATTGATCTATATTGAGAATAGAGCCAAGTTCCTGGTAGGGAAGGAGACTTACAGATGTTCTGATTACTGTCCTAGGGCATTGCCCCAGGACTGGGGAATGGAATGCATAACGGTTAAGAATGTGATATAATCCAAGATCTACATATTCTTGGATATCTTTGTAATCCACTCCTCCTTTTTTTTTCCAGTCCTGCTGAATTGCTTTGTCAATGAGGAAAGGAATAAAATGTTCTTTTTAGAGGAATGTTACCACAACAAAAAACTCATCAGCACAAACTGTCCCAAAATAACACAAAAGCTGTCACCCCGCTCTTCTCTGCATCAGTCAGGAGCTGTTCTTTTTCAGCATAGCTTCTGTATTGCCTTGGCTTTTCCTGTTCTCCCTCCAAGGCTAAGGCCTCTTGTGGTTAGAGGCTCCTGAAAATCTGGGGTTTCACAATCAATCACAAGCTGCGTCCTTGAGAGAGAAAATAAAATGTGGGTGCTTAACTCAGTCTAAACATATGAGACAGTATTGGAATTCAAGATCTAACTAGAAAGTTGGATAGATAACTCAGGGCTTAGAATGTCAGGTAATGAATGATGAGGCATCATGGATGAAACGCTTTTGTGCTGGCCATGTTGTGCTGGTTGATGTTGGTAAATTTCTCAGAAAATATAAAAGGAACTGAAGGATTTACCTCAGTGCTAGAGCTTTTAAAATTTTAGCCATTGTTGAATTAAATCATTTTTTTTTATGGATTAATGTGACCAGAACATTAGTTTTCTTTATATGAATTAAAACATGTCTTCAGGGGCTCTTATACTATTACCTCAGCACCTAGATTCCTATATGTATTGTACTTGCTTCTTGCAGTCCACCTCCTCTCCACCCCCCCTCCCCCGATTGGCACTTGGGATAGAATCCAAGGATACTTTACCATTGAGCCATATCCCCAGCCCTTTTTATTTTTTATTTTAATACAGGGCCTTATTAAGTTGTTGAGACCTTGCTTCAAACTGGTGATTCTCCTGCCTAAGCCTCCCTAGTCGCTAGGATTACAGGTGTGCGCTGCTGCACCCTCTTCTGTCTGTTCTTTGATTTATTCTCATTAGCTAATTGATATATTAACTCTACTGTGAACTGTAAGATTAGATTTACAGTAAACTCAGCCAGGCATTTTATAAAATATACATAATCATTTGGTAGGGGGCAGCTACTTTGGCTGTTCAGTTGCTATTTTTTTTTTTTTCTGGATAGCGGAGGCTGTGTATTATGGGCCCTTCGGATGAGCAAGAGGGCACTATTGGTGATGGTGTCCTTCTTGTAATGCCGGCAGGAGGTTCCATCATGCTGGCAGTATGGAAATTCATGACCTGTCTTCTATTCTGAGTTCTGGTTGGACACTGCCATGGGCAAAGGATTTGTCCATGGGATAAGCTGTCAGATTGTTCTGATAGTCTGAGGTGAGCAGACAGGGGCCTGCCTAAAAACACTGCCCTCTTGACTGGACCAAAGTCTTTGAAAGCAATGTTATTTTCTTTTCTGGAACCCACATGGAAAATTAAGGCATTTATTTGGCCACTAAAATAAATTTTTATTGAATACCTATTATGTGTCAGTCATTGGTTGAAGGCTAGGAATTTAAAGTAAACTCAGCAGGCATTTTATAAAATATAAATATAAATATATTTACATAGTGTACTAAAGAAATAAGATTTCTGGCCAGGCAGATGGTGTATGCCTGTAATCCCAGTGTCTCTGGAGGCTGAGGAAAGATAATTGCAAGTTTAAGGCCAGCCTCAGCAACTTAATGAAGGCCCTTTTTATTTTTTAGAAAGGGCTAGGGATTTAGGTCACTGGTAAAGCACCCATGGATTCCTTCTCCAGTACTCCCCCTACCACACACTAAAAAAAAAAAAGTTCCCAACACAAATAAAGAATTATCAATACTCAATAATAGAAAACAAATAAATCAATAAAAAACAAGAAAAGATTTGAACAGAGACTTCAACAATCTAGATACATTGGTGACAGTATTACTAGCCATTAGGGAAGTGCAAACTAAAACCATAATGAGATTCTACTGTACAGTTATTAGGATGACTAAATCTTAAATGGACAATACCAAGGGCTGGGTGAGGAAAAAGAGCCACTAGAACTCTTACTGATGGGACTTCAAGATGATACAGTCATTCTGGAAAAGTTTGACATTTTTTGTGTTTTTTTGTTTGTGTTTATGGTAATGGGGATTCACTCCAGGGGTGCTCTGCAACTGAGCCATACCCCCAGCCATTTTAAAAACTTTATTTTGAGACAGCGTCTTGCTAAGTTACTGAGACTGGTCTTGAACTTGTGATCTCCTGCGTCAGCATCCCAAATTGCTGGGATTACAAGGTGAATACCACCATGTGTAATCAATATTTTCTTATAACCATAACTTACTATGTGTCCCAGCAATTCTACTTTTAGGTATTTAGCCCTATAAAATTAAAATTTATATTTACACTAAAATATATACATGCATGTTTATCACAGCTTTATTTGTAACCTCCCCAAACTGAATATAGTCCATATGTCCTTCCTTTGTGAATGGATAAACACGCTATGGAAAACTACTCAGCAATACAAAGGATTGAACTGTTGGTGCACACAGCATAGATGAGCCTCAAAAATTTTATATCAAGTGAAAGAAACTAGTCTCAAATAGTTTTGTCCTATATGATTGCATTTATACGACATTCTGATAAAGGCAAAACTATAGGGATGGAAATTAGGTCTGCTACTAAGGATTAGGAGTATAGGGAAGGTCTGAATAGAAGGTCAGCATGAGGGATACTTTTTTGTTTTCTTGTGTCCATTACATTGATATAACTATGTATTAAAATGTATAGAACTATATGCGCGCAAAAAAAGTTAATTTCATCATATATTAACTTTAAAAAAGTTTCAAGCATAATACCTGCCATATAATTTAAGCTCAGTGAATGCAAGTTACTTTATTCTATATTTCCAGGAAATTGACATATATCTAACTGTTGTATTTTTATGTTTGTATGATTGATGTGCTTATCTCACCAAATTGTGAGCCCCTTTAGAGCAGGGACTGACCTTATTTAGTTTGTCTCTGTTTTCTTCAATGACCAGCATATCCTATAACAAAATATGGGCTTAATCACTGTATTGAATGATTGACCAATGTCACTATAGCAACATGGATTAGGCTGAGGTGGGTGTTCAGGGCAAGGGAGATTTTCATCTCCCTTAAGATTTTAAGTGGGATGGGTAAGTAGCTGTATGAGCGCAGGAAGCTGCACAATCTACTTAAGATTCTAGTTTCTGTGATGTCTGATATGGATGTATAACACAGAGTTAATGCCTTCTCTTCTGGAGCCAAACACACATGACTCTCCCTCTTACCACCTATGCAAGCTTGGTGAAATTACACAATTTATGTCAGCCTGTTTCTTCATTAGCAATTGGAATAATAATAATAATGATAGGTATACCTTATAAAGTTTCTGTGAACCATAAATAATGCACCTGGTACAATGCTTGGTAACAGTTTTTATTGTTATCATAAGAAAGAACATATATTTTGATGCAAACAGTATTGTGTTCAAAACTTGGCTATATCACTTACTACCTTAGGCAAATAATTTCACCTCTCTGGGCCTTGATCTTTTTATTGGTACTGGGAATTAAACCCAAGGGCACTTAACCACTGAACCA